TGCTCCCTCACAAGCATCCTGCCCTCCACACACCCATCTCTACACACACATCCACCCTCACATGCACCTCCACCTTCACCTGCCCCCACACTTTTCCCCTCACACACCCCTCCACACTCCAAGGACCCCAGGTGGCTCACGTGGTCTAGGGAATGGGTCCCTCTCGGGGCCGGGCACTGTGTGTTCTCCACTGAGGACCCCGGGACTCCCCCATCCTATGCCTTCCACCACCCTCTTTCTCAGGGACACCTCGGGATGGGTGAGCAGGAGTGGGGGTAGCAACTTCACGAATAAAGGATTGGAAAGTGACTCCTTCCTTTCCCTCCTTGACCGCTCCAAAAATACAACCCATTCACCCCCCCTCAACCTCCAGGAAGCTTCCTGCCTGCAGCCTCCATTGTCTGTGTGTGGGCTGACTTCCTTCTGGACTTGGCCGGAGCTTCTTCCACAGGTTCCACCTCGTCCTACCAGACCTCGGTTTCCGAAGCTCCTTCTCTTATCTCCTGGGAGAACTGGTCTCATGTTGGCCCATTTCCCATCTATGAAAAATCTCTCTGTGCCTTCCAGAAGTGGTTTTGGAGGCTTTGGCTAGGTAGCTAGTCTTTTCTCCGAAGGCGCCAGGGCACATTTCCGGACCCCATTGACATTTAGAAAATCTAAACATCCCAAAATGTCTGCATGGCCTTTTTAAAATTAGCAATTAGCTGCTAAAGGTCTCCACGATTCCCACAATGTTCAGCCCTTCTTTAATTTTTTTTTTCCTAAAACACATAGTTACTCTTCATTTCCCATGTTCATTTCTGGAGCAGCTTGACTCCAAGGGGAAAAAGTCAGCAATCGACACGTGTAACAGGTCTGGGGGCCATTACTTATGAGTGGCAGATTTGAAATCCCCCAAGGGCAGGCAGACAGAAATGTGCTGATAACTGACACGGGACAAGCACCTGACGTAGGATCTCATTTTAAGTTGACTGTCAGAACACACTGAAAGTGAAGGTGTTATTACTCCCATTTTGTAGGTAAGGAAACAGAGATTCAGAAAGGTGGAGCAGCTTGCTAAAGAGACTTGGTAAGTAAGTGGCTGAGCTGGGATTCGAACACCGAAGTCCATGCTCTATCTGTCATACCTGACCACACCAACATGAGGGTAGGGGAAGAGAACGCCACAGCAGCCTAAGCCTCCACTGAGAGTAATCCTGTGGACTCACAGGTAGGCTGCAGCAGGGACCAGGCCAAGGGAGGGGCCTTGCTCCAAGCCAGAGTGGAAGACCTATGGTGATCACCAGAGAGAAGCTGCCTTCAGATGCCCTCAGGTCACCCAGCCCACAGCCAAGGGCTCTTCACAGTAGGTAAGGCGCTTTCTCCCTTGGGATCCATAGGGTCACCTCGTGTGCTCAACGTCACACATGTATTGTCCCACCACCATGGGGAACGAGAGCCGCCCCTTAATGATTCTGGCACGTGCCCACCACTGGGCTAGCTATGCATCCTCTCAGTCCTACAGTCCTATGAGGGATGAACTGAGACTCAGAGTCGAGAGGAAGTGGCCCAGGGTCCTAACACCAGGGAGTTCCAAAGCCCAGATTCAGACCAGGGAAAGCTTGGTTCCAGTAGACCATTCAGCTTCACACCGCCATTCAAGATGGAGTATTTAATGACAGGCGTTTGTTCCCGATGCCCTGCATGATTCAAAACTAAAGTTCCAGTAGGAAAACACTGGGGGTAGGAAGCACATCACAAACTTTCCATGAAGTGAGAGACTACGAGTATTTCAGCATAGCACACTGGCATCCAGCGTGCAGCCCCAGCTAGCTCCCACGGACGGGGCTCCTGGACCGAAGTCTGCTTCACCCCACCCCCGGCACCAGGAAGATGCCCTGAAGGTAGCTCAGCCCTGAAAGGCAAGCTGTGGTTCTTCTCACAACCCCTTCTGTCCACTCTCAGATGATTTTGGCTAAGACCACTGAGGTAAAGGCCGAAACAGTAGAGCGTTTCCCTGGCAGGGGGAGGGGCGAGGATTGTGGTGGGCTCAACCCAAACTGACCATCCCTAACAAGGAGCAGACCGAGGCCTGTCTCTAACCACCCTGCTGTGGCTGCTCTCCGTGATGCAAATGCCACCAGGATGTGGGCCCAGGCCGCAGGAGGCGACTCGCCAGGCTGAGCAGGAGACAGTGTGTGGCGCCTGGCAGGAGGCCCTCCCCTGGGCCTGGCCTCAGGGCCCCAGGCTTCATGTGGCGGTGGAGGGCAGGGACTGTGGGTCTGCAGGGACAGCAGTGCAGCTGGTCTTGGCCACACTGCTTTCTCAGAGGGTGGCCAGCAACGCCTTATCCAGACCAGGGGGAACGGAGATCATGGCGCTACCCCAGGGCTCGGGTCTGCCCCCATCTGCTGCACACTGGAAACAGGACTCAGGCCTCACACAGTCCAAGGAGATCTAGGCCACATGCATTTGTGAGAAATGACTTGTTTACCGGTGATTTATAAAGAGATGGGGAAGGAGTTCCATGACCAGAACCCAGCAAACATTTCATTAGTAGACACCCTATTCTTGTCCATTGTTTTCCCATTCCAACTTCCCTTTCCCTACCATCTCACAAACTGTAAGAAATCCCCTGTGCCATTCTAAGTGATTCATCTTTTGAGACTGGTGACTTTATTTTTTTTTATTTTTATTTTTTGAGTTGGAGTCTCACTCTGTTGCCCAGACTGGAGTGCAGTGGCCGCTCCCGGCCACCGCAGCCTCGACCTGCTGGGCTCTGGCGATCCTTCCACCTCAGCCTTCCACATAGCTGGAATTACAGGTGCGTGCTACCACGCCCGGCTGATTTTTTTATTTATTGTAGAGATGAGGTCTCGCTGCCCGGGCAGGTCTCGAACCCATGGGCTCAGGCCATCCACTCACCTCAGCCTCCCAAGGCGTGGGATTATAGGCTGAGCCACCGAGCCCGGCAAGACTGGTGACTTTTAAAAAGAGCCTGGCATTTAAGCAAGCCACAAACAATTATTCCCCACACATCCCTGGGTGGCTGATTTATCCTTGGATGCCTTCAACACCAATATGGCAGACTACAGAAGAACATCTATGGATGGGCCTCTTGCAGTTGCTTGTCACAAAGCCATAGCCACTTCCTACAGCCCTTAAAACAAGTGCAAATTCATCCCAAGCTAATATATGAACATACGATTAGATCCCAAGCAGTGATGTTTCTGGGGTGTCGAGTAAATGCAAACGCAAAACCATGCTGAAGGGCTATTTCCCAACTCAGACCACATATAATTTCTACAGAGGAAAAAAAATCACACTGCAAATGGCACATGGTCAAACATTATAGAACCGTCAAGGAGATAGTCCGTCGTGAACAAGAGCAAGTTCATACAAAACATTGGAGGCATTAATAGTCTCAAAACCTGAGTTAACAGAACAATATGGAAAATACTACCAAGCAAACAAACAAACAAAAAAACCAGAAGTCATAAGGAAACATCAAGGAACTATGTAAATAGAGCAGACATATTTGCAAAACTGATATGTAAGTAAGAACTTTTAGAAATTAACAAAATATATAATGTACAATGCAAAGAATGGGTTCAACACCAGTGAACAAAGCTAGAGAGAGACTAAGTGGATAGAAAGACATGCACTGAAGAATTTACCCAGGATGCAGCACAGATGAATAAAGAACTGAACGCTATGAAAGAGAGGTTAAGAGACAAGAAAGCCAGAAATAAAAATGTCAAGCATATATATAAAAGGAGTTCTAGGGAAGAGGATAAAGAAAACAGGGATGTGCAATATTAGGAATAATTTTGGCTGAGAGATTTTCACAATTTAAAAAAACACCTTAATTTTTGAAAGAAAGCACACTGAACTTCCAAACAGATAGGTAAAAATCAACCCATATTCTGATACCTGATGGTAGACATGCTGAACATCAAAGAAAAGAGAAAAATCTTAAATACAACTAGAGAGAAAAAAACAGGATACCCAAAAAGATGTGACAATTAGACTGATGGAGAAGTCCCAACACCATCAAGAAACACCAAAAGGCAGAGGTGTGGTAGCTTCGGTGCTGAGAAGAAATAACTATTGCTTAAAATCTTGTTTGTAGACAAACTCTAATTTAAGAGAAAGGGTAAAGTTGAGGTATTTTCGGGTAAAGACAGAGATTTTCTCACTCATGGGCCCATGGAAAGTAACACTAAAGAATATCCTTCAGGAAAAAGAAAATCGATCAATACCTGTTCACCTTGCTTCTTGCGGGGGGAAACTCAAGAAGCAAGGTGAACAGGTAAAGACAGGTAAAGACAAGATGGAAGGTGAGAGAGGACAATGGGCATTAACACATTGTAGGATCCTTATTTTGTTCTCTTGGAGAAGAGAGACATTCATGCGCTTCTGAGTTTGTTAAATCAGAGGTCAATGTCCAACGTAAGGGCAATGGTAAGGGACAGACTCAACATAGTAAACAAGATCAAGAGACCATAGATCGATGCGCTGTAACCCAAAGAAGGACAGAAGAATGTAAAAGTGTCACGAAGCGCTCGGAGATTCAGCATCGACAAGTCCACAGATCACATCCCACCCAGCCCCATGGCGGGCACTGCTGACAAGGGTCCCCAGTCAGGTGGAATTTGGGTCATTCGCAGCAGGAGGGGCTCCACGGGCTGCATACTCTTTCACACCGGAGCTCTGAGAGCTGCTCCATAAACTCTACAGACGTCAGTACCTTTTGAGCTTCAGATGTGCTTTGGGGAGAAATAAACCAATAGCTTTGTGAGATGCTTGCCCATTCCTTATCTCCTTGACGCAGGGGTTGGAAGCCACTCACCGGCGCTGGCCAAGGTGTACTGGTAGGGCTCCGAGAGGAAGTGAGGGAGGGTAAGGATGAAGGCGCCTGCAGCCAGGAGGAGACCCCCGATGCCAATCAGTCGTGGACGATGTACCCGGCTGCCAAAGTAGCTGACAAAGATGATGAGGATAGCATTGCTGATCTGTGAAAAGAGCAGAGGGGTCGAGTGAGACCACAGACCCTGTCCGTATAAACCCACAGAAGAGACCTGACCACCCCTTGCCCAGGATAAACAGGGAAGAGGCTACCCAGGGTGGCCGGGACCCAGGAAAGTCACAGTGTCACCCTTGTCCAGAGAGCCTCGCAGCGGCGCAAGCATGAACACTTTTAGCTTTCCCTCTGTTTCCAGTAACCCTTCTTGGCCTCCATCTTCTAGACCAGACCAAGGGAGGCATCTGGAGGCCACGAAAAACTCACAGCCTAAACTTCCACCACCTTAGGACCAAAACTTTGGGGCAAACCCAAAGAAGCCTCCAATCTCAGTTTGCTCCTAGGAATAAAACATGTCCCCTAATTAAACACCCAAGTTTAATTGGGTACTAATTAAAAGACTCAAGGGCTCTGGCTTTGTGGTGAGAATAACAAACAAGCAATATGCTTATCTCATGTAATCATGCAACAACCCTCATTTTACAGCTGACAAAATGGGGGCTCAGAATATTAAGTCACATGCCCACGACCCTGAGGGTAAGAGGTGGCTTGAGCTGGGCCTGCCTGACTCCAAAGCTCCCAGGCTTACAGGGTGTCCACAGCCTCCAGAGCGCGGGGCTTCGGCCGCAGCAGCTCTGCTACTATCCTGCATCAGTGACCTTTCTCCTGGGCCTGTTTCCCCTTGTGTAGGATGAAGTGAGGATCACAGCATCCTGCATCCCTGCCCAGCTGGAAACATCAGTAACTCCATGTCTTGGTGGTTCCTGGAGGGTGTGTTCTCTGAGCACCACCCAGAGCCAGGGAAGGAAACCCAAGACTCCAGTTCAGGAGCAGGGTCTTCACGGGTAAAAGGGGTCTCCATCCAAGGAGGTGGTTGTCTCCCCAGAACACAGTTCACCTGGACTGGAGGAGCCCTCTGAGTTCTCAGCCCTACCCTGCCCTGTCCACATCCCAGTCTCCTCTGGCTGGAGGTGTGGGTGTTCCTACCTCAGGAAACAGGGACTAGTGTCTCGGCACATGGCTCTTGCCAAGGTCACCCATGACCTCCTCATTGCCAAACCCACTCGTCCATGCTCTGTTCTCTTCTTACTTAACCCCTCGGCACCATTCAACTCAGCTGACCACCTCTTCCTTCCTGAAACACTTCTTTCCCCGAGTTGCCATGATACCACCTTCTTCTGGCTGCTTCTCCTCAGCTCCTAGGCTGGTCCTCCTCATCTCCCTGAACTCTCAACGTTGGGCCAAGAGCTCAGTCCCTGCATTCCGCTCTGTCCTGGAGAGCTCCTGTGGCCCATGGCTTCACATGCTCCCTGAGTGCTTCTCATTCCCACAGGCTCAGCACAGCCAAACTCTTACTCTCCTTCCTTCCTTGAAACCCAGTCCTTCCTCCCTAGTTCTCCTCATTCCGGTCAAGGGCACCTCCATCCTCCCAGTGGCTCAAGCAAAACACCCGAGCATCATCCTTGAGTTCTCTCCTGCCCACACTTCATCTTTCAGCAGATCCCACTGGCCGGACCTTCTGTAGCCACCCAGAAGCCAATAACTCCTCATCCTCCGCTGCTGTCTGAACGGCCACGGCGGGCTCCTCGCAGGGGCCCAGTCTCCACCCTGCTGTGTCCAAGCTCCACCCAGCAGTCAGAGGATTCTTGCTGCACCATCAGACCGTGTTCCCTCCCTCTGACTCTCCGGTGGTAAGAGGCAAAGTCTGTCCCAGGCCTCCAGAGCCCACACGGCCTGTCCCTCCTGTCGCCTCCCTGGTCTCCTCTCCTCTCTCCCTCCAACCAGCCATGTTGCCCCCAGCTGCCTCCAGCTGTTTTCCAAACACACCAGAAGCATCCCTCCTCACTCTGTACCTGCGGTTCCTTCTGACTTACGTCCTAGGGTCTCCCTTTTTCCTCACCAACCTCAGGCCTTGGTTAGACGGAACCATCTCATGAGGGCCCGTTTTCCCATCTCTTCATGGAAAACACACCCGCCATCCGATCCCTCACCACTTTGGCCCTGCCTCTCCCTCCCCCTCCATAACCTCCTCTCTCTTTAGAGTTCTCATCCTCATCGAATCTGCCATTGATTTCTCTCAATAAATACAGATTTGTCCTTAGAATGATAAACGGGCTGAGATTTTTGTCTGTCTGTTCGTTCCTGTCTCCCTGGCTCCTAGAACAGTGCCTGACACATACGTGGTGCTTATTAAATATTTGTTGAACCGGCCGGGCAAGGTGGTTCACCCCTATCATCCCAGCACTTTGGGAGGCTGAGGTGAGAGGATTGCCTGAGCCTATAGGTTCGAGACCAGCCCGGACAACTGGGCGAGACCTTACCTCTATGATAAATAATAATTTTTAAGAATTAGCTGGGCATAGTGGTGCATGCCTGTGGTTCCAGCTACTTGGAAGGCTGAAGTAGAAGGATCGCCTGTGCCCAGCAGGTCGAGACTGCGGTGACAGAGTGAGACTCTGACTCAAAAAAAAAAAAACTTGGTGAACAAATGAATGTTTTTCTCATGATGAGGATGTAGCAGCCCAGGAAACCCCTCTGGTACGGCCAAGAGCCAGGCGATTTACGGCAAATAGAAACAGGGGGTGTGAAGGGGTGTGAGGAGGGCTTGGCCCAAGCCAGAGCTGTTCCCATGCCCAGAGGTGGAAATAGGACGTCCCGAGAACTCTATCTGGAAAGAACTGTATTCTTTTTGTTTTGTTTTGTTTTTTGAGTTGGAGTCTCACTCTATCACCCAGACTGGAGTGCAGTGGCCATGGACACTGCAGCCTCGACCTGCCGGGCTCCGGAGATCCTTCCGCCTCAGCCTTCCAAGTAGCTGGAACTACAGGCACACGCTACCACGCCCGGCTAGTTTTTGATTTATTGTAGAGATGCGGTCTCGCCAAGTTGCCCAGGAGGGTCTCGAACCCCGAGCTCAGGCAATCCACCGAGCCCGGTCAGAACTGTATTCTTACTCTTTTAGATTCATGGATTTCCTGCTTGTTTCCCCATGGTTTTTCACGAAGTGGTTGTTCATGTCAGATCATATCAGCTATGCCAACTGCCTGACTTTAAAAGGTCTGGGGGAGGAATGGTGGCGGTCCTGAAGAGGGACGCTAGGAGGGGGTGGTGGGGGTGTCTGGGCCCTACCCATCTGGAGAGGCCCTTCCATGCTCTCCCAGGGCCTGGGCATGTGTCCCCATGGAAGCCGGACCTCCACAGGTGTGAAGGCTGATGCTGGCTTAAGACTTTATTCTCAAACTTTTCTTCGGCTGCTGAGTCTCTTTAAAAGCAAAAACATTTTTCCCTAATAGAAAACAAACTCCCCAAATGCAGCTCTCTGGCTGAGAAGAAGGCCTCAGGTTTCTGTCCTACCACCCCAGAGAGGCCCCTAAAGCAGGAGTTGCTGTGAGACCCTCTGAAAGCGGCTACAGAGCCCATTTGCAATATGTCCCCGCCCCTCCTTGTCTCGACTCAAAGGGGCACGAGAGAGGACAGTGGTCAACTCTGCCGCTCGGCCCTGGCCTTCGGGAGAAGACCAGAGAAGCTGCTGCTTCACAGGCTGAGATGCCCCTTGCCTCCACTCCCTGACCGAGTTCTTCTCATGCTTGCCCAGCTGGGTCTCCCCTCTTCGCCTCACCTGCTGGGCCCCGAAGGCTCTTGGGACTGTGAGTTGCAGCCCCAAGGTTCCCGCCCTGGAGGCTAGCTGCACACTCCGCGGCCCAGACGACCTCATCATCTGCCGCCACCAGGCCACCAGGTTGGCTCTCTTCTCACATGCCCCGGGCTTCACACTTCACACACAGTCTCTCTCTCTCTCTCTCTCTTTCTCACACACACACACACACACACACACACACACACACATACACACACACACACACACACACACACAGAGAGAGATGCACACAGTCACACACAAACACTCAGACACACAGAATCCTTAGGGCAGAGGAATGAGCTCTCAGATGGTATTTGCTTCAACTAACACCCCTAGCCATGCTCTAAATTCAAATCCTTGAAAAGTTCATCTGAGATTGGGAAAGAAGGTTTAAGGGTGAGTTATTTTCTATTTTCCATCCAACCGCAGCCCCATTATATCCCTTCACTGCCTCGCCCAATCCCTGCCGTAAGCAGACCCTGCTACGTGTCCCTGCCCGTTCCTTCCAGCCCTGTAGAAACCCAATTGCTCCTGGGTCCACAGTTTTGTTCCAAGCACAGAGACAACATGAATAAAAATGCAACCATGGGCATCACAGATTTGGATGCTCTCTGGACCGAGGTGAAAGAGGAAATGCCTTGCAAGCCAGCTCTGTCTTTGGTGAGTGAGGGGCCTGGAACACTGTGCTGAGTGAGATTCAACAGCTGGGTCTGGAGTCAGAGGACAGGGACTGTGGGTGATGCCCGCCAGGGCCATGGAGGAGGACTGTGGTGTCACAGATGTCAGAGATTTGTTTTCCCTGATGTCCTGGGAAAGGACATGTGCTGGGGCGTTATCAAGTCACAGCCCCAGAGGAGGGCCATTCTGGGCAGACACCGGGGCCCTGTCCTAGAGGAGGACACAGCCCACATGGTGAGGTGGAATGGTCACCAGACATCATCAGTAAGCTCAGGACAGACACACAACCAGAGACACAGGCACACACAGACACCCACAGAGACAGACAGACACACATCTGCACGGAAGCGGCAAAGGCACACACATGGCCTGGGAGTTCAGAGGAGGAGGTCTGAGGCCATCAGGCCAGCAGGGATGATTCAGGTAGGTGGCAGGACTGTGTGTGAGTGTGTGTGTGTGTGTGTGTGTATGTGTGTGTGTGTGTGTATGTGTACACACGTCATACATATGGGGAACAGCCCAGGGTTGGGGAGCACGTGCAGAGGCCAGAGGGCCATGTACGGCCAAGGAACTGAAGGTGTAGTGGACAGGCCTGAGTACGTGGCTGACGGACCCGGTCAGACCCTAACCCTAACCTGAACCCTAGCCCTAGCCCTGACCTCATGGTGTGGCCGGCCAGGATGGAGTACGCAGGTTTCCTCTGCTGGAAAAGGTGGCCGTGTAGACGGCCTCCTAGCTGTGCCAGGAGAGAGACAGACACAGAACAGGGGCCCTGGGGGCACTGCTGTGTGGATCGTGAAGAGCAGGGAAGGGTGAAGGGCAAGGTTACTTCCAGTAGGAGCAGACTTGGGAAGGGGAGGCTGGAGAGGGAGGCTGGGACAGGAAATACCCACCTTCTTTGACAGCTGGGCCTCAGCCAGCACCGTCGGGGGCACCGCCCAGGCTTGAGATCACTGCCCCCACCTGAGCCTCACTAAGTCAGAGGAAGAGCTCGTGACGCTCCAGAGGAGGGATGAGCTGGGGAGGAAGCCACTGCCTTGATGGGAAGAGGAACTGAAGAAGAGGGAAGCTGGCCCGGGCACCTCAGCTCCTGCCCCAGGAGCCCTGCCCTCTGATGGCTCATGCCCTCAGCCCAGCCTGCCTTCCTCCGACTGGGACATGCAGTCACGAAGGGATTGTGGGACGTGCTGGGAGGTCACTGAGCTCTGGCCCCAGCTGAACGTCAAGGCCATTAAGGAGCTCTGGTTCCTGTGACCCTCAGGAGACAGGAGACGCCTGGGTTGGGGCTGTTTCCCACCTGCACGCCTGGGTGCGTGCTCCCTGGACTTTGGATGACGCAGAGGCCACACAAATGTGTGGATTGCCACGTAATTCACTCAGAGGCCACGAGTCTGCACACTAGCAAGCCACGCACACTGGGAGTCACACATTCTCATCTGTGAAGTGGGTGCGTGCAGAGTACCCGCTCCAGGACTGCCGTGGGGAGACCCTGGGTGAGGCGTGGGGCGTTCCCTTCAGTACCTGGCGCAGGTCAGGCCTCGGGAAACGGAGCTGCTCTCCCTGTGCCCCGTAACCCTCCCTGTCCCCGTTCCCTGACCCCACTCAGGGGGAGGCCTGCACCCTGCATGCACATTCCCCAGCCCTTGTCCCGCTGCGTCTCCTGGGTCCTGCGGTCAGGGGGTGCACAGGTGGGGTCAGACAGGCCAGTGCCTCCCACTTACCTCGTTCAGGCTGGAAATGAGGCCCGAGGAGGAGCTGGAGAGCCCGAAGCGCTTCTCGATGGTGGTGAGACTGCTCTTGAAGTAGGCGCTGTACAGAAGCTGGCACAGCTGCAGCAGGCCTTGACAGAGCACGAACACCTGGGGACAGCGACCGCGTGAGGCCTCCGACGACCCTCCCGCCCGGCACCCTCCTGCCTCGTGTCTGGGGCCCAGCAGCCTCTGTTTCCTCACCCGTCCTCTGGGAATACTCACCCACAGGATCCGAGGGGGGGTGTCACCATGGCCACACCGTGTCCCACCCCCCAGAAGCACTGCAAGAGTGCTGACCACCCTGTCATGACCGCATTCCTATCACTGCTGTCATAAATGGCCCAGGGGGACCATGGAGGCATGATGACAGGCAGAGCTGGAGAGTCACCCCCACAGAAGGGCCTGACAGAGCAGCTGAGCATCTTGGCTGGTTCCCAGCACGCCGGGTGCCTCCTGGGCTGCCGAGCACACTCCTCCAGGCCCTAAATGTCCCCCCCCCGGGAAATGGACTTCCAGGGGAGGCCCAAGCCCCAGGTGGTCCCCTCTCTCAACCTGCCCTCCGTTCTGTAAGGCACCATGATGCGGTCCCTGAGTCACCTGGTTTGAATGAATGAATGGCCCCATTCATGCCCTCACCCAGCTTGTCATTACCTCTTATCAGAGGTGTCTATGCTGCGCCCTGAACGAACAATCAAGGCCTCGGGGAAGGGGTTGAGGCCGGAGGTCTCGGTATCCACCCCACCTGGAAAGACTTGTCCTGTGGGTACCGAGCAAATGTGAGTTCCTTGGCTGATGGGGACAGAGACACACGAGAGAGGGCAGGGGAAGGGTGTGATGGCGTCCTAAGCCAGCTCCAGGCTGAGTTCTGGTACTCCTGGGTTCTAGGTTGTGGGGTGGGCTGCACAGGCTCCGAGCATCCTTGGAAGGTGCCCTGCTAGGTCATGCTTTTCCTCCAGGGAAAGGCGGGTGGCATTTCATAGGATACTCTTCCCCTGAATAAAGGGCTGGCATGGCAGGAAAGCCACCGGGGCTCTGTCTTCTTTTCCATTTCCTTCCAAAGCCGAGTCTACCCTCTACAGGCTCCCTCACTCCTGGCAGTGGGTCGCCTACCTGCCAGGGCAGAGCCTTTGCAAGGCCAGCTTGGGGCTTGTGACAGAGCCTGGAACTCACTACCTGTCGTTGTGTAGCTCACAGCCCCCAGGTCTGAGGAGGTCATTATACCTGCAAGTCCAGACACCGCTTCAAACCACCACCTGCCCTGAGGTTGCATGGCCCCTGGCTCCTCACCGGAGGCTGGAGGATACCTCCCTGAAGAGCCTCCTCTGGGCTTCGCCTCATGTATTGGAACTCTTCCTAACTTTGCAAGAAAAGTATTTTTGAAAGTCACTTTGTTCGGCTCCCTTTCCCCAATTGGGGAAACTGAGGTTCAGGTGGGGGAACCCCACTGCCCAGCACAGTGCCCTGCATGGAGTAAGCATTTGGGGGCTTTAGATGCAGGTCACCTGAGTGAGGTAACCAGGCTCACTCAGTTGTTCTTAATGGCTCTTTGATTCAAAACCACATGGATGGCGGAGGTGGGGGTGTCTTTGAAATACAGAGGCTGGGCCCAAACCAGACCTGCTGAATCAGAATCAGTGGGCGTGAAACTCGAAATGCGTTGTTTTGAAAAGTTCCACCTACAGCGTCTGGGGGGCGGCATGGGTTTTGGTCCCTGGACTCGAAACATGTTCTGCTCTGACCATCTGTGTAGAGGGTAATACGTGACGGATCCAAAAAGGAAAAGCAAAGCACCGAGCAGGCGTTGCCACGCTGAGGCTGATGGAAAGGCAAGAGCCTGAGAAGCTAAGGGAACGCTGCACACAACAGTGACAGGGATGGAGCTGTCAACGTCCTGGTTTCCACGGACTCGGACATCAGAGCACACTTGAGCCTGGAGAATCTCCTGGGCCAAGCCAGACTCAGGAAAGGGGCCATCTGACTCAGATGCCAGGCCCCCCTCCTCTGACTATCCCTTAGAGGCTGACGCCCCTCAAGCTCGGTCTGTGGACTCCTTCCCTGGACAGGTATCCTTTTTACACAAGTTCACGCCCACCCCATTTTTTGTAAAACCACGGCACCCAATCTCAGCTCATTCAGAGCTTCCCAAGAGCTCTGCACACAGGGCCCCCACGTCTACCGGATGCATCCACCTGGACACGCTCGGACCCCTCAGACTCAGGTCTCACCACATCCCCCCCCACACACACCGCTCCTCCTTTGCCTTCCTGCCCATCACCTGCACTCAGTTTTCCCCTCACCCCAGCACTCACCCCCTTGCTGGGGCCTGGGAGCTCTTCTTGGTCCTTCCATCTTTGATCCCTGCCCTCCCCTCCGGTGTCCCCTTGGCTCGAGCCCTCACCATCTCTCCCCAGATTCCTGCAGCCATCCCTTCAAGTCTTCCACCCCACCGCCCCAGAGGGAGTTTCCTCGAGCACAAATGGGAGCGGGTCACACCTAGATGGACATCCCTGGCTCCCCGATTCCTACAGGGTAAAAAGCAATGTCCCAGGCACGATATCCCAGGCGCTATGGGGCCTGGAGCCTGTCTGCCTCTTTGGCTGCACACCTTGCCAAGGCCAATCATACTTTGCAAAGATGGCCACACCAAGCCCTCCATCACGTCCACCTCTTGCAATGACACTCCAGTAAGAGCAGAGGTCGGTGTGCTCTCACCCTGAGGAGTGGCCAACCTTACTACCGGCTTCTGATAAAGGGAATGAAGCAGAAGTGATGCTATATGACCTCCGAGGCTAGGTCCTAAAAGCGGATAGAGAATTTGTCTGGTTCTCTCTCCCCCGGGGACCCTTAGGACCCGGACACCATGTTGTAAGGAAGGCCAGTCTTCCGCATCCATGGAGAGGCCACGTGTTGGTGTTCAGCCGACAATCCCAGCTCAGGTTTTGCTCCTCAGCCTTGGTACTGAGTGGACCTTCGGCTGACTCTAGTCCCAGCCTTAGATGCTGAGCAGAACAGAAATGAGCTATCCCCAGGGAGCCCAGTACGGACTGCAGATTTTGTCGGCACTGTGGTAAGAGTTGGGTTGCTCTGGTCTACAGCATTAGACAGCTGTGACACCTGCTGCCGTACGCTTGCCCTCCACACACACCTCTAGGCCACACTCAAGGCTCTCAAAGTTCCCTAAGCACGCACACACACACCGTCCATGTCCCCTGTCTTTGCTCATGGTCTTCCACTTCTTTGTCTGGCTAACTCCCCCGCCTTTCAGGAACAGCATGGAGCCCACCCAGCATGGGGCTCAGCTGCGTGTCTAATTCAGGGCTGCTTCTAAAACCCAGCACCCTCTGCGGACTTCTGCACAGAAGCATCCAGAAGGCTCGGCATGTGGCAACAGCAAGAACAGCATCCGGCAGGGGAGCGAGGACTGTCACGACAGCCTTGGGAGGGACAACACGGGCTGGGTAGGCCAGGCCGGGCAGCGGGCATGTGGGCAAGGACTAGACTGGAGGGCTTCTGCAGGGGCTGGGTTGACAAGGCTTTCATTGATCCGAGTGGAAGGGAAGGGGTCGTGTTTCCTGCCTGAGGGCCAGGAGAGGGGCAGAGCCATGAATGTGTGGTGACAGGCTCAGCGGGACAGTTTCTGAAAGGGTTTAGTCTTTTTGCCTCAACATAGCCATTAGAAAGCGTTCAGACATTCTACTGCAGGATAAACAGTAGCCTATCCCATCCCCCTCTGCAAATCTCCTTCACATGCAAGACCAGGACAGCCTAACGGTTCATGGTTTAGCATAATAATCTCTAGTAAACTTTTGACTCCTTGTCAAGGCTAAGGTCGTAAGAGCTTGTGAGTTGCAAATGTCTAACAAGTCCCTTGCAGGAATCTAACCCCCAAGGGTTAACCTCATCAGCCCTCTGTGAACTATGTGACACAGATAAGCCCCACCATGGTAGCAATCATGTGACTAACCCACCCATCTGCCTGCTGTCCATGCCCTGACATCATCAGTACCTGCGCTTGTCTGCCCCTTTGTGATGACGTGGAAGCAGACCACCACCCAATCACCTTAATGATCCTCCCCCGTCTAGGGGAATGGTAAAAAGGACTCAACTACAAGCAACAGTGGCCATTGCCTTGCGTGAGTCTGGTGTGGCCATGTGCCCTTTGAGCCATGGCTGTCGCCACGCTTCCTGGCTTAGGTTTCCTCCCCCACCTTGGGGAGGTGAATCTTCTCTCTCCCTTCTCTTTCTCTCTCTAATTTACTTTTAAATAAACTTTTCTTTCTTAACCTTTTTGTGTGTTGCAATGCTTTGCATCTACTCAGATCTCTGGGTTGCCAACGCGCACCTCCGGCTTGCCAGCCCTGGCAGTTTCAGAGCACTTGAGCTTCTGAGCATTAACTTCAGAAGAGACCAGTCTCCTCTGCCCACATTAGTAATGAATTAACAGGGGTGACTAACCACTACCAACCTCCCCAGCTGTCTTCTAAGGGGAAGACGGGGATGTGGGAAAGAAAATCTGTCTCAGCTCTCTTCCTGAAAGACACACCTTTGAGTGCAGAAACACCCCCACTTTCTCCCCTCTCCCCGCTACGAGGTGGGAGACTCTGGCCAGTGCCACTAGCTCCTTTCCCACTGCTGTCACCTCGTAGGGGACAGCTTTGGCCCCTGCAGCCCAGTGGGGTCTGGGTGCCTCATGGGACCCTGGTGGAAGTGCTGGTATGTATCTCAACCCCTGGGCTCACTCAGTGGACATGGCAGCTGGAGAGGAATCACATCCCGGGCTGCAGGGGAGTGAAGAGGAGGGGGGAAATGCCCGGAAAAGAGAAATGAGTCAGTGGATGATCTGACAAGGCCATTCAGGGGCATGGCCATCTGGCCTCACACACTGGGCTTATGCGTGCGGGGCCATGGGACCAGGACCCAGGCATTTCAAGCTTTCCAGGTACCTGCTAATGGCCAGTGTGAGATGGAACAAGAAACAACACTGGACAGATGACACAGAAACCCATCCAGGAGGACATGAGTTTAAGGGTAATGGGAAGTGACTGGGAAGGGACTGGGAAGAGGAGGACACGGCTTGCTCGCTGGGTTGCAGCCCACCTCCCCATCCTTGAGGCAACGTGGTGCTGTGGTTTTGGAGCTGAACAGGACTCAGCAGTTCAGATCCTGGCTGTCAGGAACGCGTGACCTTCGGCTACTGATGTGACCTCCCTGACAGCAGCTTCCCGTAGGAGACAGTAAACGGGAGCTGTGCCGGACACCTGAGCTGTTGTGAGGCTTGCAGAGAGTGTGACCAAGACCCTGGCACCCTGCCTGGCCCACACCCTCCCTGGGGAGTGCTCCACATTCCGGAGAGTTATTCAGTAAGTTGAGGCTTCCTTCATGCCCAACCCCCCACCCTCACCTACCCACCGTGATTTAACTTCTCCTTTGCTTCCATTTTTCCCGTGGTATGAGAACTTGAGACTAGAATTTCCCACAGTATGTGACACAGAACACCACTTGCTCGAGATTCTTCAAGCCAAACAGGCTACCGGAGGAAAAAAGTTCAGAAAACATTGCATACTAAAATCCTCCCACGTGAATATTTGCAATCGCATTAGCATATGGAAGGCGCTGGGTTCTTCAATGAAGACCTGGGTGACTTGGTTTAACCCAACTCTCTCCATACTTTAACTATGTGACCCTCTATGCCCACACCTATCACTACCATCTTTTTTTTTTTTTTTTGAGTTGGAGTCTCACTCTGTCGCCCAGACTGGAGTGCAGTGGCCGCTCCCAGCCCCTGCAGCCTCGCCTGCTGGGCTCCGGCGATCCTTCCGCCTCAGCCTTCCGAGTAGCTGGAACTACAGGCGTGCGCTACCATGCCCGGCTGATTTTTTGATTTATTGTAGAGATGAGGTCTCACTAGATACTTGCATTCTGCGGAATATACTTTAGGGAAAGATAACACGCTTCTTTAAGAAAGCGCCTCTAAGAATTTGAGCCTTGCGATTCCTTCACAAAAGGAAAAAAAAAAATACAAAGATGTATAACATAGGCTGTCTTATCTTCTTTACAATAGTATACCATCATTTTCCATCTCCTTGCTCTATTTTTTTTTCACGGCATTTATCGCTTCCTAAAATTACATCAGGCATTTGATTTATCATTTACTGACATTGCCTCCCAGCAGAATACAGACCCCATGGTAGAAAGATGATGTGTGTTTTTTAGGACAAATCCCCAGTGTTCGAAGCAATGCCCGGTTCACAACTGGGCTCCATTGTCTAGTGAACAAGGTGTCCTGAAAGTGCCCTGACGGATAAGCCGCGCTCCAAGTATCCATCCCTCAGGCGCCATTCTGGAAGCTGCAGATTCTTTCCAGTGATCTGCCCTCATCTTTTGTAAATTTCCCCTTCGGCACTGCCTTCCAAAGATCTACAAGCCACACAATTCACAAGGCACCAAACGGCATTTGTCAGTCAGCTACCCTGCTTACTCACTTGACTGGAGACTAAATCGCTTCTGGAGATCTGTAAACCCAAACTAAAAAGTGGAGGATTTGCAGTTATGCGTAAAGGGACTTTCTAGTGTGGTGGAGACATTGTACATTTTTATTGTAGTGGTATCCATGCAGTATATACACGTGTCAAAACTCATCCTGCACTTCAAGTCTGTGCATTTTGTTCTATGTAAGCTACACCTCAATAAAGTTGGCTGAAGAAAAAAAAATCATTTGGAAAAAAAGATTTGCAGTCACGAAGGTATTCAAAATAATGTTCTGAGGCTTTGAAGGAAATCCACAAACAGGTTTCTGTTTTTGTTTTTTAAAAACTATGAGCATTGGTAACGTCATTGGAATACATTTGTTTGTTCAAGGGGCCCGCTTTGAAAGGTTCAAAACCCATGCAAATATCCAGGTTTGTGTGTGTGAGCACTAATGTAAACATACAGGTTGACAAGGATGTGTGTGTGTTCAAGTAAACGCATCGCTAGAGGCACATCTTATAGAAGGAAGCTGGCAGAAAAGCCTCCCGGAAGGAGGCAGCCCTTCTGCAGGGCAGGGCAGGCAGGCGGCCTCAGACTTTTCAACGTGAGCACGGTCTTGCCCAGGGCTTCTCCTCTCTCCAGTCCTAACAAGCGCGAGGCAGAAAGGCAGAGAGCAGGGAAGCAGAGAAAACGGAATGGCCATGAAGGTCTTTCTTCTAATAAAGAGGGGACGTTGATCGCCTGGGCCAAAGAGCTAAGGGCACAGAGAGGGCCAGGTCCCAGCCACACTTCAGCACCATACGCAACACGGCCGCGAAGGGTGAGCCACAGCACAGGAAGGGAACCCCACGCCCCAGGACACGAAGGGCCAGAGGACAGTCCAGACCCGGACTCTCTTCGTCCGTGTGTGCATGACCTTTTCCAGACCAGACACTGGAGCTGAGACTCAAGAGGCATCTAGGCATGGCTACAGAGACGCCAGGCCGACGATCTGAAATGTGATCCCGCCGGGTTATCACCTGTTTAATGACTGACTCTGCTGTCAACCCACGCAAAGCCTGGAAGGCAAAACTCAAGAAAATTTCCCTGATGCCTTGTGTCCACCAGGATGTGACTTCTCGGAGGGGATTCAATGCACTGAAGGAGCCCCAGAGGGAAGGACCCCAAACACCCTGATCTCTGGTCTCACAGCCAACTGGAATTTCACCTGTCCTTAAAATCTCTTTCATTTCTTGACATCTTTTAATTTTTTTTTTAAATCCATGTAACACATGAATATGTTTAAAATATCAAGTAGCCTGTGTGGGCTTTGAATGACAAAGCCCAGCCCTGCTCTCAGGTCCAGTCCACCACCAGTCCTGTAGGTGGGGGACAGCTGTTGCTGCCTTTAGCTGTTAGTTTTGCTGTTGGCCTCATACATGCATCTCCAAATAATGCGCTTGTTCGGCATTTCCCCAACTTACCACTTTAGGGTGAGTGCGGTTACCAAAGAGGATTTAGCACACCTAGGCTCACATCTCCCCTCCCCTCTCTCCCCACTCCTCTTGACTTTTAATAGTTCCATCAGTGTTTGTATGATTGTTAGGCCGCTTTGCGGGCAGTGAGCTGGGAGCCAGAGGGGCAGGGCTTTTCTGCTGGGTACGCACCCTCACACCAGCTGATCGTTCTCTCAACGATCAGGAGAGAAGGTTGCCTGTGTCTTCCCTGGGATAAAGGCTGTTCCATACCAACACTGCAGGGTTTCCTCCATTTCTTCTGCCATGCCTGCCAATTCTGACTTGGTGGCCTCTCCGGGGCTGTGCCCAGCCCGAGAACACCCTACTCCTGCTGGCGGCATCACACACTGAGGGCCTGCATTCCTTCCTTCTGTCTCCAGCAACACTTCCCGCTACCGTCCGTCCTGCTGAAATTATTGAAATCTTTCACTTGTAGTCTCTCTCCTTTTAAACTTTTTTGTTATTGATTTTTATTGGTTATTTTTAATTCATTACTTTTATTATAATGGAGGCGTTGGCGAGAAAGAGAAACAAACATGTGCTCGATCTGCCATCATGAATCATCTTGAACCAATCTCTTTCCTAGTGCTTAGCCTAACAGACAAATCACTCT